GGCCTTAGTTCAACTTCCTCCTTGGAATTTGGGGCAGCTTTCTCCTCACTGTTCTCCTGCCCCACTTACTTCCCCTACAGTCCATTCTCTGCACCCAGCCAGGGGGGATTTTTTTAAATGAAATTCATATATATATATATATATATCCCCTATATAATGAAAGCCTAATATGCTAAGTGTCCAACCCTTCGTTCCACGGTTCAACCAGTCACTATGACACACACTGACCACCAGGGGGCAGACGCTCCGACCGGTAGGTTAGCTTGCGGCTGGGGTCTGGCCGATGGGAACTGGGTGAGACGGGCCAGACACGCCCTGGAGCCCTCCCACGGTCCCTCCCCGGTCCCAAGGTCCCAATCATGCACCGGTGGGGTCCCTTGGTCTGGCCTGCACCCTCTCGCAATCCAGGACCCCTCAGCGGATGTCGGAGAGCTGGTTTCGGCCTGATCCCCATATGCCAGGGGATGGTGCACATATGTATATATAATAATTATTATCATTATTGATTTCAGAGAGGAAAAGAGAGGGAGAGAGAAATAGAAACATCGATAATGAGAGAGAATCATTGACCGGCTGCCTCCTGCACACCCTCCACTGGGGATCAAGCCTGCAACCCAGGCATGTGCCCGGACCTGGTTCCTAGGTGGATACTCAACCACTGAGCCATGCTGCCTGGGCCAGGGGATTTGTTTAAAGCACGAATTGACCACGTTACCCACCTGCTAGGTCTCCTGGTGCCCTTCACAAAGACCCCACTCCTCAGTCAGCCTCATGTTGGGCTTTCAGGAGTGGGGCTCCCCGCTGCCTCTCCAGCCCGGCTGGGCCCCCCAGAGCTGCCTCCCCACTGGCCCTCACCCTTCGGACAGCCACGCACACCCACCTGGGCAGGTGCTGAATTGCATGACTCCCCTCCCCCATGCCAGGCCTTAGCTCGACCCCTCCCAGGCTGGCTGAGGTCCCTGGGTGGTACAGCCCGTGTTTCTCTAGAATGCTGCCCGGAGCTGGCCTGCCAGGCTTCCAGCTCTGGTCCCCCCTGTGCTGACTCTTGGGGCCATTGTTAAAGTGCCACAAAACAACACAAAGTCGTCCCCTCACAGGCCGAGGCCAGATGCCTGAAGGTGGCGGGTACGTAGGGCCCCATCCCAGCCTCTGGCGTGGCCGGCAGGCCCTGGTGTCAGCATCACTGCAGGCCCAGCTCCGTCCGCACCTGGCCTTGTGCTCTTCCGAGGACACCAGCTATGGGACGAGTGGCCACCGAACGACCCCGACCTCACTTCCCTGGGTCACCCGCGAAGACACTCTCCAAATAAGGTCACCTTCACAAGCAGGAAGTTGGGACTTGAACCTGTCTCCCGGGAGGCGCAATCCGACCCACACAACTAGCGGGACGACCTGGGCCTGTGTCTATAAAATCAATGATGTCACCAGCTGCGGGGAAGGCAGAGCTGCGTGGGGGTCGGGGCCGCCTCCCCAGGGCGCGGGCTCGCACCTGCCCAGCTGCGCTCCCTGCAG